CAACATATATATAACACTACAAATTTTTGTTTTTTTTCCTAGGACAGAAAACATTAATACATGTGTCCCATGCACTAAAAAAAGTTCTAATTTGACACTTAATTCAACCATTTTGCATCATAACGATTTTGAGCATCTCAACAATCAAGGTTTTTAAAGCAAAAATTTGCTTTGAAACACATTAAAGATGCTGCCCTGTAACATTATCTTCCAAATAACAGCAACTGGTCATCAAAAAACTACAACTATATAAATAAAACAAACAACCAGATAGATGCCAACAAGCTTCGGTCCAATCTATGGAGATAATTATTTCGTTCTTAGTACTTTTTCAGCAGTTTCCAAACCAATGCAATCTATGGAAGTTCTGTGATTACTTCAGCATATGCTAAACTTTTACATTTACATATAGCAATCACGGATTTGTAAAGAGAGTTCATATTTTCTAATGCTACTTGTGTTTGACTTGGTGGTTTAGAGATTTGCTCGTGGGGCCTTTATTTAAGCTTGTTGGCAAAACTTTTACATTTACATATAGCAATCACGGATCAAAGTTTCAAACCATAAACAAACAATCATAATCAGAAACCTATAATCAGAAAGCATCAACACGCACCCTCAACAATGCTCAACCGTTTTTCTGCAAAACCCATAATCAGAAACCTAAAATCCACAAACAAACAGAGGCTTACCTCTTGATCTAATGATGGGCAGTCGGAGGAGGAGATGGGATACCGGCAAACTGAACCCTCAACAATGCTCAGCCGTTTTTCTGCGAAAATCAGAAACCTAAAACCCAAAATATTCAAACTAAAAATCAGACCCAAAAATCGAAATGTTCAAACTAAAAATCGCGCGGTTAGAGAAGCTTACCTCTTGATCTGATGACGAGAGACGGGCAGTCGGAGGAGGAGAATGGAGACCGGCAACGGAGAGATCAATCGGGCGGAGGAGAAACCAAACGAGCTCCGAACCGCCAACAGAGAGATCAACCGGCGAATGAACGGAGAGAGAGGCCGGTGAAGAGAGCCGGGGAACCTTGCTTCGAACGGCGAGGAGAGGAGAGGAACACAGAAAAATTTTTCGCAAAGGAGGAGATGAGGGCTCAGATACGAGTGGAAGATAGGAGGAGACTAACCTGAAAATGGGTTGTAAATTTCAGAATTCAGTGGGGGTAAAATTGGAAATAAAAAATTTCATTATACACTCAAAATGAATTCCCACATAAGCTAAAATCAGAATCAGCCTAAAGGCTGATTCTGCTTTTAGCTTCAGATGGGAGGAAAATTTTTAAAAAATCTGTTTTACCAAACAAGTTTGAGCTTTTAGATTCCTAGATAAGTACTTTTTCTTTTCTAAAAGCAATACCAAACACACTCTTAATATATTAGGGATTGAACAAAATACATATAAACATTTTACTGAGAAAACCAGACATCTATATTCTATATAGAAAATAATCGAGAGAGGAGAAAAATATGATGAGTGCGTTTGGAATTTGTTTTAAAATGATTTTATTTTTTGTATAAAAATGGAAATGAAAATGTTTTCAATCTCATACCGAAATCATTTTTGAAAATGCGTTTGGTAGTTTTATTAAGAAATTATTTTTAGTATAAAAAAATCCATTAATGTCTCTCTCTGTGCTCGAGAGAAGAGAAAACGGAAACAAAAAATGAAAAACGACTAAAAGTCATTTTTCATTTCTCTCTCATTTTGCACTAAACTAAAAAATCGTTTTCATTTCCGTTTTTTATCTTTAATTGTGTCAAACACCGTTTCTCTCCCGTTTTTATTTTTTCTTTCTCAAAAAACGTAAAAAAAAACAAAACCAACTCCAAACATGGCCGATATATTCTTCTCATTGAATGATCTACGTATTTATAGAGTTACAATTACAATTCAAATATTAAAAAGAGAAAACTAGATAATGATGAATAACTTAACTAGATACAATGAGGAAACTAGATAATGAGTAACTTAACTTAATAAGGGGAGAAAGGAAATCTAAAACCTGAATATTTAAAAAATTTAAATGACTAAATTAATTAGAAAAGAATTAGGAAAACTAGACACACTAAATTGAGTGTGAATATTTTCCCTAAGGTTAGTTTAGTAAACATTTTACTGCATAATTAAGATCTCTACAATATTATTCAAACAAGTCCAGTAAAGCACTTTATAGAATAACTTTTACTGTTTTACCCAAAAATGGATTTCATGACTAAAAAAAACGTCTCATCATTACATCTCCAAAACAATGAGGTGTTATATCAACCAAGGCCTTATTTACTTCATGACTTAAATCACATTATTAAAGAGTGATTTTCTCTCGTATAAATTTAAATTTAATTTTTTTGTTACAGTATTTTTCTCTTATATACACAACCCAAATCATAATTTGAGTTGTATAAATGACCACACCCTAAATCTCTCTTTTATATCTTAAAAGACATAAACCATAAATTTTAGGCCATTAGTTATTCAGACACAAGACACCATATGAATAGTTTTAAAAAAAGGTATAATTGCTTAATTAAACGGTTCCAAATAAGTTCCACACTGGCATAGTACAATATATTTATTTGAATTCAACTACTCCAATTATCAAAATAAACCACCTGCTTGTCCCTAGAAGCGTTATTCCTACCTGACGGTCTTCTTGTTAGCTATGCTTTCATTGAAGGTTTGAGGCAGTTGTGTTTTGGTTTTAGGTTTTTATGTTTTAGTCTAATAAAAGCGTGGATACTTTCACTTAGTTTTAGTATTATAGTTATTTAACAATAGTTGTGGTTCTTCCACCATTTGAGTTTATTTGTTGTCCATCAGATTTAAATCTTGACGAGTTAGAAATTCCGTTAGTTATGATTCTAGGCGGAGATTTAGTGGCCTTAGAGCTACACATTACACGCTCTCGATGGATAGAAAGCTTCAATCGATCGTATTGGTTTTAAAAAGAGCTTTATGCATGCTCAAATTAATGTGTTAAGAAATGTTCTCGACATCGGGTCTCGTCTTACATTTTCTTTTTTGTGCTTAATTAGAATTCACTGATAGAACTAATTTTTATTGATTGTTTTGTTTATGTACTATAAAGTCATTTGCATTATTATTGATGTCCGTAACACCTTTTAGCTGAATGAAATTATCAATCACGCGACACTAACCATATTGTTAATGAAAGACATTAATCTCTTTAAAATATAGAGACTGCGATTGTCCCCATAGGGACGAGGATACATCCCAACCGGTAGAAGATGGGAATATTAATTAAGAATAGGGACGGAAATGGGGACAAAATATTGTCCCTAAATTATGACGGGATGGAAATAGAGGAAACACTCCCTAGCACGCCCTTACATTGATATACATATGTTTATACTTTATATCGATAAATATATGCAGTACTACATTTTCAAACAAAAATACTTATTTTTGTGGCAATAGTACTAAGTTGGATTTGCATATGATTTGTTTTATAGAATCTAATTTGATTTTGATTTAAATTTATAATATATATTTATTTTAAATTGCTATAATTTTAAAAGTGTAATTATATTAAATGAAAAATGGAGCAAATATGTAAAAAGTCTCCCTAATAAAAAATCTCTTCACTCCAGTCTTGTTTCTTTTCAAGCATGCAAACATAAATGAGGATTGTTTTAAAGGGTAGGGATGAAGACGAGAAATCCTTTTTCGTCTTTGTCCCGTCCTGTTGCTATCCCTACTTTGCATGAGTTTGTTGGTTAACGAAGTATATGATGGTTAAAATTATTTAAATTCATCTTAAAAGCATGATTTGTCTAAAATATCTTTCATTGAGGAGTAAAGCGAGGTTCACAGTTCATGAGTTTTTAATGAATCAAACATGATAAAGATGATAAAAAAAATGAAATAAAGAATACAGTAAAATAAATTTGTAACTTCTTAAAGTTTGAGAGTTAAAATAAGACAAGTAATATAGTATGGATGCCAAATGTATAGGCTTATTTAATTGACTTAAAAAAGCTGTTTTTAACTTATTTATTCAAATATGTTTATGATCTCTTTTTAAATATAAAAACACTTTTTTAAACATTATTTAAACACTAATAAAAAAATTTTAACTTATACTTATCTCCTTTTACTATTTAAAAACACAAACACAAACAACTATTCAAAACGGACTCATAAAAAAAATCAACAGAAATAGTACAAAATATGTAAATATAAAAAGTTTAAGGAAGTATATAGGCCAATTTTTAGTTATAAAAATTAATAGGTCATAACTTGTCAAGTTATGGTTAATAATCATATAAGTTATGGACAAATTTATCAAGTTATGGTTCATAATCAGACAAATTATGAATAAAAACCATAATTTATGAATAATAACTTGTCAAGTTATAATTTATAACTAAATAAATTATAAATAAAAATAATAATTTAACATATTTATTAATTTATATAAACTATTAATCTATTAATTTTAATTTATCTTAAATTTTAGCATATTTATCTTGTTCTCCCTGAAATCAACCCTTCTCACGAAAATATCAAGGAGGGGGAGGCGGGGCCCAAAAAGAAAGTCAAATCTTTACACATTTGGATCATCTGCAATTATCCTTTGGATTCTCCTCCCTCTAAAACTATCTTTAGCGACTTAAAGAGCATTTTTGCGTGAAACAAATTATTATTGATATCTTGTAAGTTGTTAGTGTGATTGGCTTGAGTGAAGGAACGACCAAAAGAAATGCAGAGAGTTTCGTTTCTCTGTTCTTCAAACCCACTTCCCCAAGCTCTCACTGCTCTACCAACCTTTCATGGCCTCGCAATTCCATTTCGAAGTCGACCCATTTCAACTGTCACGGTTTCTTCCCCTTCTCGCTTGCCTTTGAGTCGTCTCCTAATTCCCCGCCTTTCTCTCTCTCCTCTTCAAAACACCGGTGATTTCTTCTTCTTTGTTTCTTTCTAAGCAATTTTGAAGCTTTTTAGTAAATGGGTTTGTTTTTTCTCAGCTTTTTGTGCAAACAACTATGTTGTTTCGGCTTAGTGTAAGTTATAGAACTGAAGAAATGGATAAGATTGGTAGGCTTTAGTTTGAGGAACTTGAAAGTTATGTGCATTTTTTTTTTTTTAAATTATTGAAAGTAGAAGTAATATCTTCTAATTCTTGTATCCATGTGTTAGGTATGTGCTTTTGCTTGTGCCCAGTTGGTAGGCTTTAGTTTGAGGAACTTGAAAGTTATGTGCATTTTTTTTTTAAATTATTGAAAGTAGAAGTAATATCTTCTAATTCTTGTATCCATGTGTTAGGTATGTGCTTTTGCTTGTGCCCATATGAGTTAAATTTGTTTTTTCCTGTTTTTTTCCTCCTTTTTCCTGGTAGTTGTTGTTCATGGAGGTTCTAGCAGTAGGAATTTATTCAATTTGGATACATGTTATCTGAATTTTACCAAGTAAGGTTTATACTTTATAGTAATACCTTATTTAGCCTGTATTGGACTTTTGGCATTTCTTGCTTGCCTACTGCCTAGGATGTTTCAGCCATGAGCTACCAATAGGGTGTCAAAAACTTTTGGTATTTGTGAGAACTTTCGATAATGAAATGTTCTTGTAAAAATTCTTCAGTCTCATTTTTTGATCGTTTGTTAAAATATTTTTAGCTGTTTTCGTGTAATACACACGTATCAAATGGAATGCATTTTATGTTTTTGTGTTAGAAATCATTAAGACTTTAAAGGGTGGACAATGATGTTATGGGTTTGGTTAATTGTGTATTTGGTCATTTCAGCTACTCAGGAGCACGTAGAAACTGCTGAGACTGACTTGGGATTCGTTGAAGTTGGATACATAAGCAATGTTCACGGGCTTCAAGGGGAGGCTCGTGTGAAACCCAACACTGACTTTCCTGAATTGCGTTTTTGCGAGGTAAATTGAAGGAAGTAGTTCTTGACTATCTCTTTTGGTTTGGATAAATTGTTGTTGAATAATAGATTGTATTTTGGTTTAACTGATGTTTTTTCAATCAGCCTGGGAGAAGGTGGTTGAAACAACAAGTTTCCGGCAGAGAAACGATTCAAGAAGTTGAGCTTGAGGAGGGAAGAGGACACCCTGGTCAGAAAAGTTGGATACTGAAATTCAGAGGAATTGACACGGTGGACCAGGTAAGAGAACAATGTATTTTTGTTGCCTTTCTCTGTTTTTATGTCGGAGGTGAAAGATATCGGATGGCTATGTTTCGAACACAATGCTTTTAGATTCTGACCTGGTCTCCTCTTATTCTCAGATACATGGTAGTCTCATTTAACTTAATGAGCATACCTTACTTTAAATTCTCTTGTGGCCTAGTGCTGGCACGTAATGTAATTTATAGTCATTACTTTTAAGTCACATGAATCTTCCTATGTTTTGAGTTTCACAATATGTGCAGGCTAAGCAGCTTATTGGGTCAACTTTACTTGTGAGGGAAGAAGAAAGGCCAGCTTTGGAGGAAGGAGAATTTTATACTCGTGATCTCGTTGGCATGAGAGTTTTTCTCAAGGTTTGTCATTATCGTGTTTATTTTTTTTCTTTTTCTGGGGAAGTTAATTACTTAGGGTTGCCTTTTCTGTTTTTAGTGTCCCTATGTGTTCTTTGCCACTAAAAGTTCCTCGTTTAGGATTTGGATATGATTTTAGTGTTAATTATTGTGCTTGCTAGATTGTTTATTGCCTGCTCTCTAGTCATTGTTGGAAGTCAAAATTGGAATTTTAAAGGAATTGACTATGTTTGTTTTCTCAGGAAACTGGTGAACTTGTAGGAACCGTGGTTAATGTTTATGATAGTGGAGGCAATGATCTTTTACAAGTCATGCTCGATTCATCTGTAGATGTTCTTGATGCAACTGGAAAGCAAAAGTCAGCTGGTACTAAAGTAGCCGGTCATCTTGTGTGGGTGCCATTTGTTGAAGCCATTGTTCCAATTGTTGATCTGAAGAAAGGAGAAATGCAGATTGTTCCTCCAAATGGGCTCCTTGAACTAAACCTACGCTTTGATGAGAGGTCCAAGAAAGAAAGGCGCCAGCTTGTGAGGCATACTCTCTTGGTCTTTTCTGCTGAATACGTTTGAATGTTATTCTTGCCAGCTTCTATATGCGTGCATTATACTCTTCTTGAATTTTTCTCTAGATCATTGGTTCTTGGTTTTCTCTTTGGTTATCGTTTTTATTTATTCTCCTTGAGTGCATTTTGTTCCTTCCTGTTTTTTACATGTCTTACTCTAATTTTAAACAATTATCATCTAGTCACCTTCCAGACTCTTTGGTTGTATATGGAATTGCAATGTTATTAAACATGCCCATTTAAGTAATAAGTATGTGTCCTTACTGTATAGAAAAATGTGATATAAATTGTCATTACATTTTTTCTTGGTGTGCATATGTGCATACTGTATAGACATGAGAGTACAATCAACAAAGTGAACACAAGCCTGAGTTGGTGAGTAGAACACCTCATCTTTACTTGGACAGTTATCCTAGCATCTCAGGAGGCTTTATTGTTCCTAAATTTACACCATAGGCCACAACAGATGGTTTTCAAAGTAAATTTACTGTTAGAGCATTTAAAGTTAGACTTTTTCAGTAGAAATAACTATGAGACTGATAAGACCAAATCTAGAGCGTAGTGAATTCACAAAGTAATCAAGACAATGGAATGAAAGATCAATTAGACTGAATTATTTGCCGCTTTACTGAAAAGGGAAATACAAGGGATATGGGGGTGTTCGAGTGACCTCTTGCACTCCCTAGAGCAGTAGCTCATCTAAGAAAACTCAATTACAATCTCGATGCCCTTCCCAGTCGTCTTCCTTTTGGTTTTATTAATTTCTTCCTCACTAACCGTTTCCCACTTCCTTCTCCTCTCCCGAGGTCTCTCGAGATCTGGGCTATTACGCATTCCCTGCAGCAACTCTTTCTCCACTTATGCTCGCTCCTTCCATGTCAGCCTCTTTACCTCTAACATCAGCCTCCACCTCACCATCTTCCACAGCACCTTTTTCTGCCTATCACCTCGACTGTGTTTAGGCCTCCTCCTAGCGTAAGTGAAGCGTAGTGGAGGTCTAGGGGGCCCATCAGAGACTTGACTACAGGGTGATTCAACTTTTAGCATTTTGTCATCTCCTGTTTTTTTTTTGATACATTTCAGGAATGGAAAGAACGGAAAAAGTATCAAAAGCGTCTTATAGCGGCAAAGAAGAAACTTTGTGAGATGGAGCAAAAACATGTATTTCATGGGCTAAGATTTGGAGAGAAAGCTGAACGGAGCTTGCTAGCTGACCAGATTGTCGGCGTAAATTTGAAACTACTTCAACAGGTGCTGAGAAGTGTTGAGACACCGTCTAGAAGGTGAGTTTAAAATGAGTCATATACATCCTTTTTTTTATATTAAAAAAAAAACTGATTTAATCATAAAATTTTGGGAAATCATTGTGGATCAAGATTTTGGGGAGATGTGTCTGATTGAAGAAAGTAAGTTTAGCTTGTCCCCTATTTGTGTAAATGGTTTGGGGGTAAATATGTGCCATTTTGAGAGAAGACATGCTAAACAAACAAAAGTGTTAATTGTTTTCGCTATAAGTCGATTGTGTTTCTACTCTATCTCTCTATTTTTGTTTTAAATTTTTTATTACCACTGCTAGATTTATTGAGATTTTACTTCTTTTGTAACTTTCTAAATCAGATGGAGTAGAACTGAGTTGGTCGGGGCAATGAAAAGAAAACTGCTTAGAACGTTGGTTGTATCAGAGGAGTGTCTTACTTCTACTGCAAGGAAAGAGAAGCTGGGTGCGCATTTCCCCTTGCGAGAAAAGGGTCTCCAGCTTGCATCCAAAGGAAAAGTTGCCATTGTTTTAGTTATAAATGGCACCAAAGCACAAGGAGTGGCAGGTGACTTCGATGATGTCAACTCAGAAAGCACTGAAAACTTGACAGAATCCCTTGAGACATTACTGCTTGATGATCAGAGATTCATAAGGGTTATATACTCGTTCTTTACTTTTCAATATTGAAGTTTTTAAACCCTACAACAGAAGCGTCTACATCTGCTTGTTCTTTGTCATTGTTCTCTCTAGTAGGTGTTTGTTTATTGAGTATTTCTCCTTTTCAATTTTTAGTTCTCCTGTTTGAAAGATAACAAGTGTGGGACTTTAAATTATACAGTTAAGCATGAATTTGAAGGGTGCTTTTCTGCACATGTCATGAAAGTTGGTTCCTTATGGTGTGTGAAATAGTAGTGCATGTGTGATATTTGTAATTCAATCAGTTGAGCTGTGTTGTGGTAACTTCGGAACATGTTATTTGAAAATTTCATGATTCACAACAATTTCATGATAGAGTGAATTCAGGAGCAACATGTAAGCCAGTATCATGCAAGGGCAGATTCTCTGTTCATTATTTATTTATTTACAAGTATGTAAATAAAATCTTCTATATTTTCTCTCTTTCACTTTCAGGAAGTTGCATTCTTGCAGATGCCATGCTTTTATTTGGTTAACATTTTAGCAAAAGGGACTGATGAAATCGTGTTCATGTTGCAGATGGAAAACCGTGCATCAGTACCTTTGATTTTGATTGGCTCAGCTCATGAGATTGAATCGTTGAAAACTCTATTCTCAGAGAACGATTACTTCTCATTCGACCCTGAAAAGGTCTGCATTTACATCACATCGAATGAATGGATCTTTTACCCTTTAAGTATGCTGAAGTTGCGGTCTTTTGTTGTTTTGATGCATGAGCTCGTATCTTTAAAGCTTACTAAGGTCTTCTCTTAGTTTTATTTTTATTCTACTTGCCTTGCGCGTGCGGAATTACTTGCATCTGAAGCCCAAAATTTTATGGTAGGAAAATACTCTTTTGAGTCTGATTATCGAATTTTAGTGAGACTTTTACATTCCTTTCAATTTAAATGTCTTATAGGTCCACTTTTTGGAGGAAGAGAAACTTCCCGTTGTAAGCAATTCACTGGAAGAGGCCAAAAGACATAAGATTCTAATGAAATCGCCGTGGGAAATACTCCAATCTCCGGTTGGATCAGGAGGAGCTTTCAGCTTGCTTTCATCAAATGATATACTAGACAATCTTCACGAGCAGGGTGTGGAGTATGTTGAGGTTAGTCACACAATTTACATGGTTAAGATACTGTTACATAATGCAACATCTAGTTCCAATGTCACCTTTTTCTTCTAAAATGCAATTAGAGTTTTGGGTGATCAACTTATTTCGAAGACTCTGACTCTGAGCAGTTAAGAAGAGTTAGAAAACTATTACTTATGTTCGGTGTCCCTTTTCTGCTTTAGAAGTACTGTCCCAAGGATTCGTAGTTACATGTAAAATATGCTTTCCATTATTTCTCGTCTACAAGTCCGCGTTTTATCAGTTAAATTGGGAAAACTAATACCGATGCTTGTCTATTGTGGAGTCAACTCAAAGTTAAGCGTTAAGCGTGCAATATAGTGCTTTTTGGGGAATATTTACCAGTTATATACGATCAGAGAGGTGGAAACGGAAAAGAGGTTTGTTTACAGAATTGGTTCATGTGGTTCTGTGGCAGCAACTGAAGCTGTTCAGAATGCCACTGTTGCATTTATCCACAAACACAGCACGCCAAGTAGATAAACTCATAAACATGCATTTATTATATCACTACCTTTGTCCTAGAGGAGACTATTAATAAGAACATCCAATATGCACTTGAAGTTCAAGGCTATTTTGGATTTTGTTACTAATTGCTGATTGTTTGTGTTTTTACGTAGTAGAAGTTCCTGCACGTTTGTTGCACATACGCTGCGTATAGTCGCCTCTGCATTTTCGTTCTTGATTGTCCTAAATCTTCTCCAACTTCTTGCAGATAACGAGCACAAGTCAAAGACATGCTGGCCTCAATCCACTACTTCTGGGGTATGTTGAATCATCCAAAGCGGATACCGGGATCCAGATGCCCAAAGAGGCGAAAGATTTCGAGGAAAGTTTTAACATGATATTTTCGATGAGCTTTTTGAAGAAGTTGACGAAACAGATTGACAAACTCGGGTTCCAAGTGATCCCGAAGCAATATTCGCATGTTGAATTTGTTGAGAAAGATTGGGTTGATGTTGTCCCCTCCACCCCCAACTCATATGAGTTTTGTTGTTCAATTTATAGCTTATTAAATGTGTGTTCTTTTGATAAGGTATGTTTAATGGAGGTTGCAGACTAATTTTTTTTCAACAATAGAAATGGCTAGTTTGTACACTGACAAAGAAACATATACATATTTTGGATAAATCAAGTGAATAGCTATTCAGCTGAATATTTATGCTAGTGTTATATATGATTAACTTCCTAAATTCGCATTTATCGTCACTAGTCTTTGCTAATTTGACTTTCTTGGATGGTCATTTCGGCAAATTATTCAGTGACTTGGTCATTCTCTCTCTCTCTCTTGAAAAATAGTAGTCATTCTTGTTTCATTTCTCAGTGCAAAAGTGCTTATCGGATATTCTTTTTCTCAGAAAATAAACAAACTATTAGGATGTTTCTCTGTTTGAATGATATGGGAGAAATATAGAACACACTCAATTATGCCTTTTTTAACTTGTGGAAATAGTTTTGGGGTAAGCTCTCTTTTTCAAATTTTTTCTTTTGGTGGGGTGCTTAAATTGATGTTAACTATTTAAACTAATAAACAAATTAAATGAAAAAAAATTATTTTAGAATTTGGAAATAAGAGAAGTTATGCGGTAAATAAATCAATTTTTTACTTTTTGATAGAAGTAAATAAATTGATTTGATGATAGCTCGTTTTACATAAATGACATGTAAATAAATTATTTATCCAATATGATAATTATTTACTTGATGCATCATTAATTTTTGCTTAATAATCAATTATTTACTTCTCTTATTATGTGGTAAAATAAATCAATTTTTTATTTTTTTGGTTAAAAGTAAATAAATCAATTCGATGATAGTTCGTTTTACATAAATGACATGTAAATAAGTTATTTATCTAATATGATAATTATTTATTTGATGCATCGTTAATTTTTGCTTGATAATTAATTATTTACTTCATAAATATACTAATAAAACCTATCATTTTTGTAAATCCAGGTCCTGAATCCCTTTTTTTTTTATATTTAATTTGCATTTTATGGGTCGCATTGGGGCGGTTAATTAAAGATTTACGTGTGGCGTTACAGTTTCAAAAAAAATATCATTGTTAGGGTTTGCATTGACATATAAAGATTTTTGGTGGTATACTGTTTTGTCCCCACTTGAAGTGGTTTTTCCCTTCGGTAATTTGCGTCATGTCGTTTGTAAGTAAAGCGGGGCACATTGCAAATGATCTTGCAACTTGGGGAATTAAGTGCTAAAATTAGAAGTATGAGTCGCAAGTTGTCAAAACGGAAAAAGTTTGGGAGTATAATTGCTAAAATCCGTAAAAATAACCCAAAACCCTAATCAGACATGAGTTACCCACTGGCGCCTATAAAAGGGCTTAAGGCCATTGGTGTGTACCGAACCTGGGCGGCGACTCAAACCCTAGTTCCTTGTGAGCGCCGAAATCCTATTATCTTTTCTCTCTGTTCTTGGTTCTAGCTTTTCATTTCGGCTGGTATCGATCTCAATGGTTTGATTAATCTCGGCTGATTTTGTTCTTATTGTTCTTCGCAGAAGGTAAGCAAAAATGGCGGTGCCGTTGCTGACGAAGAAGATCGTGAAGAAGCGGGTCAAGAAGTTTAAGAGACCCCAGAGTGACCGCAAGATCTCTGTCAAGGTATATCTATATATGTGTATATACACGAAAATGGAACTTTGTTTTTGAATTTGTTTCTTTTTCTTCGCTTTATTGGTTTTTGATTTATTTCTTTGGAATATTGTTATTTTTGGCTCGAGGATATGACGATTTTTTTATTGTCGCCCCAGTCTTACTTGCAATACAAAATTGCAATTTGGTGATTGACATTTTTATCTGATCCGAGCTTTATTTTTTTCACGATTTTTCTTCTTAACATTTCATTTGATTTTATTGAAATTTAGGTAGATATGATGATTGTTTTATTGTCGCCCCAGACTTACTTGCAATATTTGATTGCAATTTGGTGATTGACATTTTTATCTGATCGAAGATTTTTTTTTACAATTATTTTACTTAATATTTCATTGAAATATACGGAGATATGATGATACATTTTGACGCCCAGTCTTACTTGCATCTTTTGATGTAGTATGGTGTCTCAGTAATAGACTATCTGATCTCTTTTTATTTATTTATTTATTTTGTTGATTTGGGAAATGAAGATACATTTTTGACGCCCAGTCTTACTTGCATATTTTTATGCAAGCTGGTGATAATGATCGATCTTTTATCTGATCCCAGTTGTTGACTTTTATTAATTTCTTTATTTGATACTAGTGGTATGCAACAAGATATGATGATTTGTACCCATTAATTCTGCTGTTTAATGATGAATATTAACATGCACTACCATCTGATCTTTGTTGCATTTCCACCTTTTAAAATTTTACTTTCATTTTATCGTTGATATATCCTATTATTTTGTTTTTTCCTCGTTTGTGTTCTGTAACCTATGATGCAACTGTTTTATAGCTGACTTACCCATGATTATTATTCAAATTATCACCATCTTTCGGCTGAGGTTGCAATTTCCTAGTTGGATGTGTTTTTATTCATTTTTAGTTTAATGTTGTACTTGCCCGTGGTATCTGATGTCCTGACTTCATTTGTGTCTGGTCATTTCGTTTTGAGGGCATAAATAAAATCTTATACAGGTCATTGCGACACGGATAGCTTTCTTGATAGGCTTTCTGTTACTTTTTCCCTGCATACATCTCCAAAATATTATGTCAACATGGAGTTTGAAACTTTTTTTTTTTCACTGATTTGAAACTACCCAGTAGCTGATCTTTTCTAATTGAAATATGCAGGAGAACTGGAGAAGACCAAAGGGTATTGATTCTCGTGTCAGGAGAAAGTTTAAAGGATGCACTTTGATGCCCAACATCGGTTATGGATCCGACAAGAAGACTCGTCACTATCTTCCCAATGGATTTAAGAAGTTTGTTGTGCACAATGTCAAGGAGCTAGAAGTCTTGATGATGCACAATAGGTGACTTTTTTGGATCCATTTTGTCCATTGATTTACAGCCATTTCAATTTGTCAGTCGTTTGGATTCCTAATGATTTGTTTTTGGAAATCAGGACCTACTGTGCCGAGATCGCACATAATGTGTCCACAAAGAAGAGGAAGGAGATTGTGGAGAGAGCTGCACAGCTTGATGTTGTTGTTACTAACAAGCTTGCCAGGTTGCGCAGCCAAGAGGATGAATAAGCTTTGTATCCGGATATATTTGCTTTTTGTAGCGAGATTTTAACAGTTTTCTCTGTTTGAAGAGTTGTAGACAGATTATATACAGTTTTGTTTTATTTTTTATCGACTTCTATATTTCTGCACAATCTCATGTGTTATTCAGTTAATTATTGTGATAGCTTTGTTCATATTGTATTTCTGCTTTGCTTCTTAGCATATTGATTTTTCACTTAAAACAAGGTACTCGCATAGAAAATTGTGATATATTTAGCTTTTTCACTTAATAAGAAAGTATCATTTTTGTCAATGTTGGTATGAAATAAATGAAAGAATTTCAGCTTTGGTTTTGATTTAAAGCCGAATTCAACTAGAGGAGTTATTTGAGACTGATCATTTCAGTTTTGGTTTTGATTTAAAGCCGAATTCAACTAGAGGAGTTATTTGAGACTGATCTGAAATGTGCTTTACCGAAAGCAAGGTTTCTTTCATCAAAATTTGATTTTCTAGGGTCCGTTCACTTTGCTGATTCGAGTTTGTAATTTGAGTTGAGATGTGATTTTATGTGAAAGTTTTTTACTATAGCAAAAAAGTTAAATGTGACTGTTTTTGAGAATTTTTTACTGTAGCAAAACTCAAATTCTAAATTCGAATTGGTGAAGTGAACGGAGCCCTAGAGTTTTTATCTTTATTGAAGAAAATTCTCATTCCCTGTGATGTAACAAAATTCTGTACATAAAATGTGAAGTTGAGCATTAACTGTGGCTTAGTTTGGTAATACTTTTTCCTCCTAAAATAATGTGAAGTTGAGCCTTAACTGTGGCTTAGTTTGGTGTTACTTTTTCCTCTTAAAATCAATTTTTTTGAAATTTTTTTTAAGAATCTACAGTAAAAAATTAGAAGTAGTTTAAAGATAATTTTAACTTTTAGATTGTGTGGAAATGTACATAATACAATTAATGAAATTTTTATAATATCCATAATACTCTTAATGAAATTTAAAATTTATAATATTTTTAATTTAAAATTCACTCGTAGTATAATATAATATAATATAATAATAATATTGTAACAAATAATATCATAATTATATAATATATTATATAATTATGATATAGAATATAATAATATTATTAAAATAGTTAATATAATTATAATATTATTATAATATCATATTATTAAAATAATAACTGAAATAATTAAAAATAACGATTATATTATATTATACTATAATATAATATATATATATATAATTACAATATAATGTATATTTATTATTATATTTAATATAATAATAAATATACATTATATTGTAATTATATATATTATAGTGTATTACACTTATATAATATATTTGTTTCATATAATATAATAATAATATTGTAACAAATAATATCATAATTATATAATATATTATATAATTATGATATAGAATATAATAATATTATTAAAATAGTTAATATAATTATAATATTATTATAATATCATATTATTAAAATAATAACTGAAATAATTAAAAATAACGATTATATTATATTATACTATAATATAATATATATATATATAATTACAATATAATGTATATTTATTATTATATTTAATATAATAATAAATATACATTATATTGTAATTATATATATTATAGTGTATTACACTTATATAATATATTTGTTTCATATAATATAATAATAATATTGTAACAAATAATATCATAATTATATAATATATTATATAATAATAGTTCTTTTTATTATATTAAATATAATAATAAATATATATTATATTGTAATTATAGATATTAATATTGTCATAATTTTTAATTATCTACAGCAATTCAACCTCATAATTTATCAAATACTATTACACTGATTTTAGAACCAGCACAACTACTATAATTATAATTTACTAAATATTCAGCTACTTTTGTAACATCTACTTCTTCCTTTAGCACAGTTAAAAATAATTTTTTTAAAATTAACAACATTACTAAACACTCAGCTATGAAGTATTGGTCAGCGGGTGTCGCTTATTGTTCGTACTTTGTGACTGATTAAAACGTTAAGTTGTCGTTGATGCTATTTTATACTTCTGAAACGACGTGTTGACAGAAGTCGATGTAGTTTTCTTTTGCATTGCAAAATGCTTATACAATTACAAAGGTCAGTGATATGTAGTCAATCGCTACTGATATACACCGACAAGCAACTATTATTTCGTAGACCAATATTGTTTGGGGAGTTTTTCCAGTAGCCTACTGAACTAATAGTCTTGGAGTGCGTTTAGTAGATGAATTTATAATTATGATTCTAGATCTTGATTCAGAATTAGTGTTTGTTTACAATAATTTTAAATCATGATTCGGAATTAGTGTTTGGTTTGGATAATTCTGAATCATGATTCTAAATCTGATGTGATGTTTTAAACTAGATCAAATCATGATTCTAAAACTACCCCCTTCTTGATTCAAGGTGATTCAAACCCCTGATTCTGAATTATAGTTTTAGAATCATGATTTGAACATAAAATTATGAATCATGGTTCTGGTTATAGAATCATAATTAGAATCACCCTAATTTAAATTCTCGTACCAAACGAACCCTTAGTTTTTGACCATTATATCTAGTTAAATCACATTAGATTGAAAAAATATGCAGAAGAGACAGATTTTGATACAAATATGACAGTTAAAAAATAAAGAACTATTGGTAGTCTATTTTTACAGGACTATGAGTGAAACTCCTTATTGCTTTTGCATAGAGTATTTAATACACATTATTTTACTCTAAAATGCGCAAATTTTTTGGATTCAAAATCACATGAGATAGAAAAATATATGGAGAACAAACAAATTTTAATACAGATCTAACGGTTAAAAAATAAATGAGTACCGATAGCATATTTTTATAGAGATTATGAGAGAACTCCCTATAGCTTTTGCATAGAGTATTTAATACACATTATTTTACTCTAAAATGTGAAAATACGAAAATTTTTTGGATGGCATTTCATGACATTTCATGTCTCTCTTTCTCGAGGTCTTTGTAAAAATAACTCAATAGAAAAGTTTTATTAGTAAAATAACTTTTTAAAAATTTTTATTTGTAAAATGACTACAGAACAATCAGAAACGACCACTTTTTACAAAGAATGATTAGGTGGTCGTTCTTCATAAAAAATGAAGGTCATTTTGCTAATTTCACTTTGTTGGATAGTCATTCTAGCATATTTCTCTTTCTCGTTGAAAGTGAAAGGACTATTATCATTGGTGGCCCCTAAACTTCATGGTCATTTCCTGTTTGTCTCTTAAATTTTAAAAATTCTCACTTTACTCCATAAATATTAAATTATTCCCATTTAACCCATTATGTTATAATTTATGTTAAACACAGATGAAAGCAAAGAGAATAATATAGTCACATGACCTTTCTATTTGGATTTATGTTAAAAAGAAACAGATAAAAATCATATGACCACATTTAATCTCCCATTTTTCTATTTAATTTTAATATAAATTCTTACAAAAGGGTTTAAATGGGACAAATTCAAAGTTTAGGAGACAGAGTGAGTTTTTAAAGTTCAAGAACAAACTGAGAATTGCTCTAAAGTTCAGAAGCACCAATAATAATAATCTAAAGTAAAACTAGTAAAAATTTGGGACTGATTTAGACATCCCAAGTTTTCATCTGCTCTTGTCCAAAATTTAAAAATTTCCTATAAGTTTAAGGATATAAAATTCAGTAATTTTAATGATTTGGTAAAAAACTTCGAGGTCCTTTTTTTTTTTTTTTGAATGGTTCAAGCATTTGAAAACCGGAGAAACGAACAACGGAGACGAAAAAGAATTAATTGACGATTTATACTTCTGAAGTCTTCTAGATCACTGTCACTACACAATTTAATGTGCACAAAAACAGATTCTTTAATATTCATAACATGCTTCGCTAACAAAGTATTAAACCAAGCTGAAAACACATTTGTACAAGAAATATATTGAAGCAGCAGAATCACAAACACCCAACTTGAGCGCAATCAACTTTTCACTACATTCTAATTCAAGTATGAAGATTGTTGCCTTGAAACCTCACCAGAGAAATCAAATCAAAGTAGTATGTTAAACCAAAACCAAACGACAACAAAAGAGAAAAATAATAAAATGTAACGAAAATCTCAACCAATTATGGAGATTGTTGGCACTACTATCAACTCAAGTAAAATCATACAAATTGAAACAGGATTTAGCCAACCAACCTTTTATTAAGTTCTTGGCTTTGAATCCAGTACTTGATTCCAAATTTCTTTAGCCCCGAAATTCAATACTTTCTTAAAACGTTTCCTCATCGAATCGTCATCTCCATCAGATAGCAATTCTGGTATCTTTAGACCATCTATCTTGGCTCTCAATCTATTTAGTTTGTCTTCAAAAACATTGTCCATTAGATGTTGTCCCATAGCCAAGAACACTTCATTCGAAACCATCATAGGCAAGTCCGGGTAACAAAAACCAACTTCCAAGCGCAGAACTTCTATGATTATCAGATGAAGAACTTCATTGTCCTCCTCAATCTTGGAATCGTCCTTCTTGATCATGTCAACCTTAGTCTTAGGCTTCATCATTGTCCTCATCATTCTGTTGAAGAGTTTGACCACAGAAAGGAAGCTGTTGATCACAATCGAATTCTCTTCCGTACTTAAACATCTGATCGTTGTCTCAACCTCGAAAAGATTCACAGATATTTCTTCCTCCTTGGAGGAGACTGACATGATCAACAAGTACTCTATGAGAAAATGAGAAATCTTGATCCCGGTGTCGATTAACACAACTCTCAGCGCCTTAAAAGTATTTCTCTTTTGTTGGTCTTCAGTTTCCTCGAGCTTTCCCATCCACTCTATCAAACTCCTATGTTCTTTTCGCCGACATTTCTCTGCCCTCTCTTTCCAAGTCACCTGCATGAATTCCCTTAGCCTTTCCAAGTGCCGGTCGAAAGATGTTCCGGAAGTAGATCGATCAATTGCATTGCGTTTTGGGACATTGTACTTGAGAAACTTCTCTTCTAATTTGTCCACAATTTGTAGCATACTCTGTAATCCTGTGCTGGACATTTTGATCTTCTCCATGACAGATTTTATGTCATGACTAGTATATGTCCTATGCGACGCTTTGCGAATTTTAGGATTTTGTAGGCAATCAAGG